TAGGGAAAATAGAACATGGGAATCTAGTATTTCTATTTCACAAGGACTTTATGAAAAAGTAATTTGGATCATTTAACTACACACATCATTTGCTCCCTTTCAATAGCTAATTATTGGTGGCAGTTGCCTCAGAAGTATAACTTCCCCAAATATCAATCCAACATTGCCCAAGTGGAATTAGCCAAGTATACAGATAATAAGTTAACTACGTTCAAATTCGCTGGGCAAAAACTTGTTTGTATCTCACCCTAAGATTCTGAAGAGTGTGACATGACGAACAAGGAGCAAAATGATAGACAGAGTTCTATGAACACAACATAAAAGAATGGAGAATTTGGAATAGAAACCCTGTGTCATAGGTGACACATACATACCATTGACCGTTGCTCAGTGCCATGACCAGGGATAATGTCGTGGCCCACACCTACTTTATCAGTATTAAAAAAGTGCAGGACCAGGAGCATGAAAATATAACAGTTCCTTAAAGTCTGCATATAGATAAATACACACTGGTATGGCTACCAGTTAGTGAAGTGAACGTGTTGCTCTGCTAGGATTTATCATAGTGCCGTGGACCCATCCTCAGTGAACCTGGTGCAACAGTAAAATAGACTACGATTTACATTCCACCATGGAGAGTGGGAGGTCTATTGCCCCACCCAAACGGCAGCTCTCAGCATTCACCTGTATGATACTTTAACTTCAAAATAGTACAACTTTCAAGGGTAACTTATGAAAAGTAGAAACGAAATATAGAGCAGCATGGCTCATTTTTTGCAAATAAAACTTTCCAAAACACATAGTGGAAAGGAGTATGACATGACATACCCACTAGCAATCACAATGACTTGTTTTGGGTATAAATCTGTGGGTTGATCAGGAAGACAGTGGAAGGCTCAACGCATAATGATATCTGTTGTTAGGAGCTGGAAATCTGGTATGGTTGATTCCACATGCAGCCTGTGGGAACAGGGCATGTTTCCCCAATATCAGCCAACTTAAGGAATCAGTAAGTGCGTACCTCTCTGCCTGCTCATTTGGGGAGGCTTACCTGTAGTTTCCCAATGTCCTCTGGCACAGAGGTGAGCTTGGCTCCCTGATCTTGCCCAAGGTATAATTTCTCTAAGGACTCTAAAGAAAAGATTTCTTCTGGAAATGAAATGAACTGATTCCCACTTAGTCCAAGTATCTTCAGTTTTGAAAGTGCACCAAAGTCTGAAGGTAACTAGAAGTATTCCAAAAAGATAAGTTTCAAGTCAATATTTTCTTTTAAATCCTCACATGAGGATATGTTTATTGATTTGGGGGGGGGAGAGAGAAATTGATGTGAGAAACAACATCGGTCAGCTGCCTCCCCTCATGCCTCAATCAGGATGGAACCCACAACCTAGGTATGTACCCTGACCAGGAATCAAACCTGCAAACTTAATTGAGATTAAATCCTAGATTCTCTTCCTAAATCTTAAAGTTACTATCAAAACACTTACTTGCTGACAGGCAGTTTTAAAAGTCTATGGCAATTAGGAAAACAAAAGACCTACCCACGGTTTTGAAAATTGAATAATATATATATTTTTTAAGAAACTCACACCTTGCCTGGCCCATGTACCACAATGGTTGAGCCTCGACCTATGAACCAGGAAGTCTACGATAGATTCCCTGTCAGGGTTAATGCCCCAATTGCAGGCTCAATCTCCAATAGGGGGCGTGTAGGAGGCAGCCAATGATTCTCTCTCATCATTGCTGTATCTATGACTCTCTCTCCCTCTCCCTTCCTTTCTGAAATCAATAAAAATATATATATTTTCCAAACCCACACCTTTTTGGCCTAGGATTTTTCTAATGTCTGGGGAACACATGAGACTGGTGTCGATGGCCAGGAAAGACAGACCTGTTATTTGGTTAGGTGTTGAATTCCAAGTATCCCTTTTTCTCCCTCTAGAGTTGTCTTTTGCTTTTCAAATAAATCTTTTTTTATTTTAAATATTAAACAAAAGAAACAAATACAAGCATACCCAAATCTTTTGTTAATAAACACAATAAAATACTGCAATTAAAGTTGAGTTTCTCTACAATACCTTCATTTGCTTGACTCCCTCCCTCTTCCCAGAAACAACCATTGTTAGGAATGTAGTTTTTTCCAGTCCATATTTTTTATACTCTTATGACACATATAAATATCCATAAAATTTGTTGTGTGTATATGTATTTTTGTGTGATTAAAAAATTTTATAAGTGGCATCATTGGGTTCTGCAATTCGGTGCTTTACTTTTTAACAAACATTAACATTTTGGGATTTCTCCACATTAGTACCTATAGCTCCCATTCACTTAAATTATTGCATAGCATTCCATTTTACAAATACACCACAATTTACTGCTCATTCCTCTACTAACTGACATTTAGATTGTCTTCCATTACTTCATGATTACCAACAATGCTATGATGAACATTTCTGAACAGGCCACCCTGTACACATGGGAAAGTTTCTCTAAAGCTGTTTTTGCAGTTTCCCATGAATGGAACATTAAGATTAAAGGTTGTATGTGTCAGAAAAATCTGTTTAAGGAAATCCTGTTAGGAGGTGGTTTTTATTAAGAATACTAGAGGCCCGGTGCATGAAATTTGTCCAACCTACGCCCTCTCACAGTCCAGGAGCCCTTGAGGGATGTCCCTCTCGCAATCTAGGACCCTCTCTCTCCTTACTGCCCACCTGATTGCTGCTCCTTACTGCTCAGCTCGCTGCTCCTTAGCACTGCCGCAGAGGTGGGAGAGGCTCCTGCTACTGCCACTGCATTCACCAGCCTTGAGCCTAGCTTCTGGCTCCCCACAGGGGGAGCACACTGACCACCAGGGGGCAGCTCCTGCATTGAGTGTCTGCCTCTTGGTGGTCAGTGCACATCAGAGCGACTGGTTGTTCTGCCGTAATGGTGGCATAGGCTTTTATTATATAGATAGACCCTGGAGTCCAGCAGCTCTGGGTGGGAATCCTGCCTTCATCACGTATAGGCATGTGGCCTTGACAAGTTAGTTACGCTCCCTGCGTCTCATTTTCCTCATATGCCATTGATAATATTACCTACATCAAAAATACTTGTCAGTCCCTAGCCGGTTTGGCTCAGTGGATAGAGCATGGACCTGTGGACTGAAGGATCCCAGGTTTTATTCTGGTCAAGGGCACATGCCCTGGTTTCGGGCTCTATCCCCGGTTGGGCACATGCAGGAGGCAGCCAATCGATTATTCTCTCTCATCATTGATGTTTCTGTCTCTTTCTCCCTCTCCTTTCCTCTCTGAAATCAATAAAAATGTATTTTAAAAAAGATACTTGAGAGGATTAAATGAGATAATCCTTGTAAAAAAAAACAAAACACTGCCCAGTGCCTAACATACATATTGTAAATAAACGGTAGCTACTAATTGTGATCAATGTTGTTCTTGGAAGGGAAGGGAGGGGAGGGGATGGGAGGGGAGGGAAGCGGAGTCATAAAAATGATCGCCGTGTTGGCTCTATTTGTTAACCCTGGGTGTTTGCCCATAAAAGTCAGTTAGAATGTGCTGCTGATGTTTAGACACAGAACCGCACCAACTTCGGCAGGGAGGGCCCGGGGTGAGGGCCTAGTGCCCGCCGGGAAGGGGATCCGTACCTTCCCTATCTTATTATCATCCAGCGCCAGGATCTCCAGGCTCTTCAGCGAGCAGAGCTGCACGGGGAAGCCTTGCATGTGGTTCTGACTGAGGTCCAGGAAGCGCAGGTTGACCAGGCGCCGGAAGGAGCTGCGCAGCGAGCGCAGGGCAGGCCGGCGTTGCGCAGGTAGAGCAGCTGCAGCGAGGCCCACTTGCAGACCAGGCGCGGCACCTTCTCCAGCGGGTTCCCGCTCAGCCCCGCCTCCGCCATCTCCGACAGGCCCCCCAGGCTGCGCGGGAGGGAGTGGAGGCGGTTGTAGGAAAGATCCAGCACCGACAGCTGGTCGCACTGGCTCAGGGACTCGGGCAGCCCCTGCAGGCTGTTGCGAGCCACGTAGAACTTCTGCAGCCTGGTGAGCTTCCCGATCTCCTCCGGGAGCGCCGTCAGCCTGTTCCCGTCCAGGTCAATGATCACCAGGTTGCGGAGGACGCAGAGCTCCGGCGGGAAGACCTCAAACTGGTTTTGCTTCAGGTAGAGCTCCCGCAGTTTGGTCTGGTTCACAATTTCCTTGGGCAGAGACTTCAGGCGGTTTCCCGACAGGCCGAGCAGCTCGAGGTGGTGGAGGTGCTTGCAGATTTCGGTGGGGATCTCCCCGATCTGGGTGCGGTAGAGGCGGAGCTGGCGCAGGGAGCGGATGCTGCTGAGGACCGGGACCCAGGAGGGGAGGATGGGGTTGTCGCTCAGGTCCAGGCCCTCCAGGCGGCTCAGCTTTCCCAGCTGCAGGCACAGCTTGCTCAGCCGGTTATTGTTCAGGTAGAGGACTTTGATGTTCGCTAGGTACTGAATATCCTCGGGGATCTCCTCGATCTGGTTGTTTTCCAGGTGCACCTCTTCTAATTCTCGTAGTTCTAAGATCCCCGATGGGATCGTAGCCAAGTTCTGATTAGCGGCATCGAGGAAAAATGTTCGCCCAGATGTGCCGTGGGTCATGTTTGGATGTGCGTGAGAGGAACCTTCTATTGCTGGTGTGATGCCATTTGGTATTATTTCGACCGGCCATTCAAATATTCAAAATCTGAAATATTGTGAAAAGGGGAAAAATATTTCCAGGTAGGCTGAAGAAAGTTGCGAAAGATCATTGGTCCTACAATAAACACTGAGAGAACACTAGAAAAAATTTAATATTTTAAAATATTTTATTTTTCCTTAAAACTACTAGAGAGTTGTGGGTGCACAGGTCAAGAGAATTAAATTTGAGAGATGGACTAGTCCTCCCTGAATAAGTAGAGCCAGTGGGTGCTTTTATGCCTGTGGCATTTTCAAGTTTGGAGACTGACAGGGGGAGAACAAGCCACCCGCTAGGCAAAGGGCCTCCTGGGGTAAAGAGAAACCAGCCAAACTTTTTGTTGTTGTTAATCTTCACCCAAGGACATTTTCCCATTGTTTTTAAAGAGTGGAATGGAGGGAGAGACAGAGAAAGAGAGAAACATCGATGTGAGAAAGACACATCTATTTTTCTTTTTAAATTTTTATTTTTTTTATTGATTTCAGAGAGGAAGAGATAGAAGCATCAATGATGAGAAAGAATTACTGATTGGCTGCCTCCTGCACGCCCCCTACTGAGGATCAAGCCCAAACCTGGGCATGTGTCCTTGATGAGAATCGAACCCGGGACCTTTTACTTCACAGGCCTACATTTCATCCACTGAGCCAAACCAGTTAGGGCGACATCTATTGGTTGCCTCCTGCACACACCCCCACCAGGGCCAGGAATGGAGCCTGCACCTAGGTACGTGCTCTTGACTGGAATCGAAACCGGGACCCTTCAGTCTGAGGACCCATGCTCTTATCCAGTGAGCCAAACCATCTAGGGCTTGACTGAAAACTCTTCTCTGCATTTTAATGGGCTTTGATGTGCACAGGCAAATGGACCCCATAGTCCAGTAATACCAGGACACTTATGTGCTCTAGGATTTACTTAAATTAACCTATTTAATCCTCACTAGAACCCTAACAAGGAGGCACCATTATAATTCCTGTTTTACAGATAAACTAAGTAACTAAAAGAGCTCTTCTCAGGATAGAATAGGACGTGGGAGCAGAACCAGAGAAGTTGACTCAACCTCACATAGGTTTTTAGCATCATTTATTCACAGGTTGCCTGGTTTTTATAAGAATAATTCTTGGGCGTGAGGTTTCAGGCTTGATTTTTCTTTCTCAGCCTCCCAAGTCCTCTGGGGGAAATGTGTGTGGACTAGCCATCCTGATTAGAGTGAACACAGTGTCTGGGCTTCCAGACACATAAAAGAACTTATTTCTCCTAACCATCTTGCTCCATGATGAATCCTGACTAGAATGTCTGAATGTGTGTGTATAAATATTATCTCACCTTAATCAGATATCACATATGTGTCTGGAACCAATTTGATGGCCCTCTGAAAGCTATATATATTATCATTAGTGGATTTAATAAAAGAAGTTTGTGGGGAACACTTTGTAAAGTATTGTCTAACCATTATGCTATACCCTAAAACTAATACAAAATAATATTTAGAATAAATAAGTAAATAAATAAATACTGGTTGTAAAGCCTGGGTTTGCAACAGCTTTGTTAGCAATTCAGCCACAGTAAATGAGAATGGGGGAAGATTGATTCCTTATTGGCTATTTTTCCCCCTAGAAATTGCTACCTGAACATGGTCAAATTAACTTATTACAATCCAATGTTACTGTGGTGTTTCTAAGTGGAATAACTTGTTGCATCATCATTTTAAAGAGCCAAGGTTGGACAATTTAATAATTAGCCCGTATTGATGTAACTTTAATGTCCAAGAAAACCATTTAGGAAAATGACCAGCCCTCTCAAATTTACATCAAGTGTTGATACTTATGTTTCCATGTGTAATTACACACAAACTGGATGGATAAAATTAGGGCCTTGAGGTTAATATGGTCAATGACTGACTGTCTCTGATTACATTTCTAGTTAAAATCATTTCAAGATTTTGCGTATAACTTCACCTGGGAGCTCTTTTTCCTTTAATACAGACAAGCTAAACGTAGCCTTAATTATCTAGGACTAGAAAATCATGTAACAGTAACACTACCCTTTGCTTTGATGAAAATTTCTTGGAAGCTATAAAATCCCTTGAAAAAATTTTGTCTCCTTTCAGCTAATACTGAACTGAAAGTTCCATATAGATTTCAGGCCTCCGTGGAAAACTTTTTACAAGCAAGCAACTTGAAGGTGTGCTTCCATCCCCACGGTCACCAAATTATTTATCTGAAATAGCTTCTCACACTTGCTTTCTTTAAAGACTCAAAAGTTGCATCTTATCCATTTTACAAAAGTGTTTCACCCTCAGTCCCTTCCCCCTACCATCAAACTATCGATCTAGTAAGTAAGCCTTTCTTTTTCTTTTTCTTCTTGTTTTAAATTTGGGTTTTTCAAAATGTTATTTGTATCATGAGCAGGAAAGTTTGGGGCACTATTTCACTATGAATCACTGACATATTTTCTCATCTCATCAGAAAATAAGAATGTAAACTTTTCATGCAACATACTCTTTTATCCATGGGCCAAAATCATTTTAAAATAACAAAACACTCATTTTCCATCTGCATATTCAGTACTTAAACATTCATGCATGAACAACACCAGGAATCAGTATTTCAGATACTTGTCAGAAAATCAAACCAGGCATTTATTCTGTTCCAGCGCTTGCTGGCACCTCAGTTCGGCCATCTGATAGCTGTGAAAATAGCTAATGAATATGTTAAAGATTCCCCCAGATCCTTTGAGTTCTATCTCCATATTATCAGGCAACACGATGCCTAGACCCTATTACCATAATTAAATACCATGCCGTTGGCTTTCTAAGTAGAATTATAATAAAATAAACAATCATTTGAAAAAAATATTTCTGAATCATCTACAAAATTATAGTCCAAGACATGTGCATTAAATTACTTATATAAAGATATACCTACTACATTTTCCTACTATAGAGTACCAGAGACACGTAAATGCTGCCTTTTATTGAAGCCAGGGGACCCCATGCCCTCATATATTCTCTTTGGTTCTGCCTTCTAGAAATCTCAGATTCGAGTTAGACCTATACTCTGGGTTCTTAGCGCAGAAGTACCCAATGAATCCACTTAGGTTTCCTTCAAACTAGCTCAGCAACATCTCCCCCACCTCCCTACCCCTCAGTGCTTCTCAAGGGGAGGTCTTCATCTCCCCCTCCCACCCAATTACATCCCTCCTATCTCCCCCACCTCCCTACCCCTCAGTGCTTCTCAAGGGGAGGTCTTCATCTCCCCCTCCCACCCAATTACATCCCTCCTATCTCCCCCACCTCCCTACCCCTCAGTGCTTCTCAAGGGGAGGTCTTCATCTCCCCCTCCCACCCAATTACATCCCTCCTATCTCCCCCACCTCCCTACCCCTCAGTGCTTCTCAAGGGGAGGTCTTCATCTCCCCCTCCCACCCAATTACATCCCTCCTATCTCCCCCACCTCCCTACCCCTCAGTGCTTCTCAAGGGGAGGTCTTCATCTCCCCCTCCCACCCAACTACATCCCTCCTTTATCTGGAAATCATTCCATGAGGGCTCATGAGAAATATACTGATGGAACTAGGTTGTATATGTGATCAGTATCTTTTCGACCATCTGTTTAGTATGGATTTTGACACTGCAAGCTGTATTTTTGTGTAAATACTGTTTTTCTTTTGCCGAGGCAGCTAGCTAAGGAGAATAGTGCTGTAAGTTGTTTGGTTAAAACAGCCCTTTTCTGTAT